GGTCATTGGTTAAAACCCCAACCACGGCACCAACTGCCTGGAGTTTGCATATTCTCGCTGTGCCTGCGTGGGTTTCCTCTGGGTACTCCGGTTTCCTCCCACACTCCAAAGACATGCTGGTAGGTTAATTGGCTCCTGTCTAAATTGGCCCTAGTATGTGTATGTATGAATGTGAGTTAGGGACCTTAGATTGTATGCCCCTTGAGGGTTAGGGACTGATGTGAATGTACAATATACTGTATATATAAAGTATGTAAAGCACTGCGTAAATTGACGGCACTATATAAGTACGTAAAATAAATAACCAGGTAAGGCTTTGATGGAAATAGATATTCCTCAACTCCTGTGTTGCCTATCAATTAAAGGGCAGGGACAACCTGACATTTAGGCTTGTTCACACAGGCAGCTTTTATTGCCGCCTCTCAGAAAAGCAATTGCTTTTCAGAAAGTGTTTGACAGGCTGTGAGTAAGCTATTTGTTGCCTCCTCACTGCCTGTTTTAACCTTCAAATACCCGCCCACCACATCACCCCCATGTGCCTTGTATGCAGTTGTGGGTTGGTTGCAACGCAGCTCGATACCTCTTGCTGAATGTTGCCAGGTCCATGAAGCAAAGCATTGCAGTCATGGCATGTGTACAGCCCTGGGCATCTGCATTTCTGCATTTAAGTGGGGGGTTGGGGGGGGGGGGTAAACCACCTGCTTTTAATACCTTTTTGCCTCCCATGGGAATGAGCCACATTCTAAACTTTTTTAAAGTGTATGTCCAGCCATTAGTTTTGAATACAGTGGGGAAGGATTAGAACCTCTGTTGGGTTTAACTGCCTTTCCCCCCACTTCCTGTTCTGCTGACAGCTGAGCCAAACAGGAAGTGAGGGTAAATCTTCAATGCCAACACAGGCAGGAAAAACAATGCTTTGAACTGAAGTAATAGGACGTAAGACATGAGCCCAAACAGAGTCCCATACAGATGTAAAACAGGGATTCTAACCTATTGCCTATCTGTCTGTCTGTCCCTCTATCTGTCTGTCTGTCCCTCTATCTGTCTGTCTGTCTGTCTGTCCGTCCATCCCTCTATCTGTCTGTCCGTCCCTCTATCTGTCTGTCCGTCCCTCTATCTGTCTGTCTGTCCGTCCCTCTATCTGTCTGTCCGTCCCTCTATCTGTCTGTCTGTCTGTCCATCCCTCTATCTGTCTGTCTGTCTGTCCATCCCTCTATCTGTCTGTCCATCTTTCCTCTGTCTGTCTGTCTGTCTGTCCATCCCTCTATCTGTCTGTCCGTCCCTCTATTTGTCTGTCCGTCCCTCTATCTGTCTGTCCACCCCTCTATCTGTCTGTCCGTCCCTCTATCTGTCTGTCTGTCTGTCCATCCCTCTATCTGTCTGTCCATCCCTCTATCTGTCTGTCTGTCCGTCCCTCTTTCTGTCTGTCCATCCCTCTATCTGTCTGTCTGTCCCTCTATCTGTCTGTCTGTTCGTCCCTCTATCTGTCTGTCTGTCCCTCTATCTGTCTGTCTGTCCGTCCCTCTATCTGTCTGTGTGTCCCTCTATCCGTCTGTCTGTCCGTCCCTCTATCTGTCTGTCCGTCCCTCTATCCGTCTGTCTGTCCATCCCTCTATCTGTCTGTCTGTCCCTCAATCTGTCTGTCTGTCCCTCTATCTGTCTGTCTGTCCCTCTATCTGTCTGTCCGTCCCTCTTTCTGTCTGTCTGTCCCTCTATCTGTCTGTCCATCCCTCTATCTGTCTGTCTGTCCCTCTAATCTGTCTGTCTGTCCCTCTATCTGTCTGTCTGTCCCTCTATCTGTCTGTCTGTCCCTCTATCTGTCTGTCTGTTTTTCTTTCTGTCTGTCTGTCCCTCTATCTGTCTGTCTGTCCCTCTATCTGTCTGTCTGTCCCTCTATCTGTCTGTCTGTCGTATCCTCTTGTCTGTCTGTTTCCCTCTATCTGTCTGTCCGTCCCTCTATCTGTCTGTCTGTCTGTCCGTCCCTCTATCTGTCTGTCTGTCTGTCTTATCCATCCCTCTATCTGTCTGTCTGTCTGTCTGTCCGTCCCTCTATCTGTCTGTCTGTCTATCCTCTCTGTTTGTTCGTTCCCTCTATCTCTGTCTGTCTGTCTTTTCCATCCTCTCTATCTGTCTGTCTGTCTGTCCATCCCTCTATCTGTCTGTCTGTCCCTCTATCTTCTTTTCTGTCTGTCTGTCCATCCCTCTATCTGTCTGTCTGTCTGTCCATCCCTCTATCTGTCTGTCTATCCCTCTATCTGTCTGTCTGTCTGTCCATCCTGTCTTTCTGTCTGTCTGTCTGTCCATCCCTCTATCTGTCTGTCCGTCCCTCTATCTGTCTGTCCGTCACTCTATCTGTCTGTCTGTCCATCCCTCTATCTGTCCGTCCCTCTATCTGTCCGTCCCTCTATCTGTCTGTCCGTCCCTCTATCTGTCTGTCCGTCACTCTATCTGTCTGTCCGTCACTCTATCTGTCTGTCTGTCTGTCCGTCCCTCTATCTGTCTGTCCGTCCCTCTGTCTGTCTGTCCAACCCTCTATCTGTCTGTCCTTCCCTCTATCTGTCTGTCTGTCTGTCCGTCCCTCTATCTGTCTGTCCGTCCCTCTATCTCTCTGTCTGTCCGTCCCTCTATCTGTCTGTCTGTTTTCTATCTGTCTGTCTTTCCCTCTATCTGTCTTCTTTTTCCCTTTTATCTGTCTGTCCGTCTCTCTATCTGTCTGTCCGTCCCTCTGTCTGTCTGTCCAACCCTCTATCTGTCTGTCCGTCCCTCTATCTGTCTGTCTGTCCGTCCCTCTATCTGTCTGTCTATCCGTCCCTCTATCTGTCTGTCTGTCCATCCCTCTATCTGTCTGTCCGTCCCTCTATCTGTCTGTCTTTTTCTTCTGTCCCTCTATCTGTCTGTCTGTCCCTCTATCTGTCTGTCCGTCCCTCTATCTGTCTGTCTGTCTGTCCATCCCTCTATCTGTCTGTCCGTCCCTCTATCTGTCTGTCTGTCCATCCCTCTCTCTGTCTGTCCATCCCTCTATCTGTCTGTCCGTCCCTCTATCTGTCTGTCTGTCTCTCCCTCTATCTGTCTGTTCATCCCTCTATCTCTCTGTCCATCCCTCTGTCTGTCTGTCAAACCCTCTATCTGTCTGTCCTTCCCTCTATCTGTCCCGTCCCTCTATCTGTCTGTCCCTCTATCTGTCTGTCCGTCCCTCTGTCTGTCTGTCTGTCCGTACCTCTATCTGTCTGTCCGTCCCTCTATCTGTCTGTTTGTCCCTCTATCTGTCTGTCTGTCTCTCCCTCTATCTGTCTGTCCATCCCTCTATCTGTCTGTCTGTCTGTCTGTCCGTCCCTCTATCTGTCTGTCCGTCCCTTTATCTGTCCGTCCCTCTATCTATCTGTCTGTCCGTCCCTCTATCTGTCCGTCCCTCTATCTGTCTGTCCGTCCCTCTGTCTGTCTGTCTGTCCCTTTATCTGTCCGTCCCTCTATCTATCTGTCTGTCCGTCCCTCTATCTGTCTGTCTGTCTGTCCGTCCCTCTATCTGTCCGTCCCTCTATCTGTCTGTCTGTCCCTTTATCTGTCTGTCTGTCCGTCCCTCTATCTGTCTGTCCGTCCCTTTATCTGTCCTGTCCCTCTATCTGTCTGTCCGTCCCTCTGTCTGTCTGTCTGTCTAACCCTCTATCTGTCTGTCCGTCCCTCTATCTTTCTGTCTGTCTGTCCGTCCCTCTATCTGTCCATCCCTCTATCTGTCTGTCCGTCCCTCTGTCTGTCTGTCTGTCCATCCCTCTATCTGTCTGTCCATCCCTGTATCTGTCTGTCTGTCCTGTCTATCTGTCTGTCCATCTATCTGTCTGTCTGTCTCCCTCTATCTGTCCGTCCCTCTATCTGTCTGTCTGTCCGTCCCTCTATCTGTCTGTCCGTCCCTGTATCTGTCTGTCTGTCCGTCCCTCTATCTGTCTGTCCGTCCCTCTATCTGTCTCTCCCTCTATCTGTCTGTCTGTCCGTCCGTCTATCAAAAAACAAAATACATACACTTCAGCCCATCCTACTCTTCTTGAATTAACCTGCCTATATAAGTCTATAAGGGCTCATGTGCAGATATCCCTGGAACTGAAAAAGATTTTTGCCTAATGAAAAGAAAATATTTCAGTGGACACATTTCTGCTACAGTAAAGCTGGCCATACATGGGTCAATTTTGTTGCTGATTGAAAAAAAAAACTGAGCAGATTCCCCCATCCGCACAAGCAAGGTGAATGGGGGAATCCTCCCCGCTGTGTAATTGTATTCTGACAGTGGGGACTCCCCTGCTCTCTGAATACACTGATCCACACTGTGGCCAGTTGGCTCCAGTGCTGATCAAACTAAAATTTTCCAAGCAGCCTGTTCAAGAGTAGTCAGTTGATAGTTAATCTTTGACCAGCTTAAAGAGTTACTAAACCCACAACAGCAAAATCAGTCTGTATATGCAGTAAAGCATGATTGTTATACTCACTGTGGAACCTAAGGGGTTAATCCTCTGCATTGTGTAAAAACGCTGTTTGATCCTTACTTCTCTGATCCCCCCCTTCTTCCAGTGCCCCCCTTTTATCTCCTCATGTGGAGTCACTCTGCACATGCTCAGTTTGATGTGTATTGCTAAAGAGGCTTTGGCACAGGGCCAATCAGCACAGTCCAGACAGAGGTCAGGGGTTCTGCACCCTTCTAGAGTAGAATGAAAACTCCTCCTACAAGCTTTAACCAGTGCTCAACTGGACACTGATAGAAGTCACATGACTGCTCTAACTGCTGATGTGAAAAGGAATTTAGTGGTTTATATTTACTAAAATAATTGCTTTTCTATGTTGTGTGTACTGTGGGAGACCAGATATAGTGAATGCAGGGTCCGGGGAGACCAGATATAGATATAGTGAATGCAGGGTCCGGGGAGAGCGGATATAGTGAATGCAGGGTCCGGGGGAGACCGGATATAGTGAATGCAGGGGGTCCAGGGGAGGGTCCGGGGAGACCGGATATAGTGATGCAGGGTCCGGGGAGACCAGATATAGTGAATGCAGGGGGAGACCAGATATAGTGAATGCAGGGTCCGGGGAGACCAGATATAGTGAATAGCCAGGGTCCGGGGAGACCAGATATAGTGAATGCAGGGGGGAGACCAGATATAGTGAATGCAGGGTCCGGGGAGACCAGATATAGTGAATGCAGGGTCCGGGGAGAGACCAGATATAGTGAATGCAGGGTCCGGGGAGACCAGATATAGTGAATGCAGGGTCTGGGGAGATCAGATATAGTGAATGAGGGTCCGGGGAGACCAGATATAGTGAATGCAGGGTCCGGGGAGACCAGATATAGTGAATGGGGTTCCGGGGAGACCAGATATAGTGAATGCAGACCAGGTGCAGGGTCCGGGGAGACCAGATATAGTGAATGCAGGGTCTGGGGAGACCAGATTTAGTGAATGCGGGGTCCTGGGGAGACCAGATTTAGTGAATGCGGGGTCCTGGGTTTAGTGACACTTTAAGAAAACCAGGGGCGAGGGTGTGAATGTGTGTGCGTGTATGTCGGGAGTTAGTGAAGTTAGCTCAGGAGTGGTGAGAGGATGGGTTATGGGAATTTAGAGTAAAAGTGCGGTTGCCCTTTAGGCCTCATGCTCACTGGATGCTTTTGACGCTGATCTTAGGGGCTTTTTTCTGCCTTTAAATGCTCCTGCATGTTAGTCTATATGCCCACACACACATAGATGTTCAGAGGCAGAAAAAAAACCCTGCCAATTACAATGCACCCCTCTTGGGCATTGTTTGAAACTGCTTCAAATCTAAATAGAAATGTGGAAATCATGTTTATATTGCTGTCAATGCAGTAATCAAGAACATATGCTGATATGTGAATGTGGAGCAGAATTGTTCCAAAACAAGTCCATGCAACTTAAAGAGTAACTTCACTTTTGTTGAAAAAAAAACCCTTCTGATTATTCCATGTACATTGCAGGGATTCTAACAAACTTTGTTGCAGATTCCTACCTTTTCTTTTTCTGAAGAAATAGATGTTTGTGAGTGTCTATGTTCAAAATAATTTTATGTGGGAGTGACTTTATAATTATCAATCAGCTGCTGCACCTGCAGGTTCCTAATGAGGAAAGTGGCAGGGTCTGCATTCCCTTAGGTGTGATTTCCCTTTTGGATTACAATTACATTTTTGTTGCAGGGGATGCTCAAAATCTAACTGCCATTATAATGCAGATGTCTGGGAAAACCAGTGAGCCAATCACACAAGCAAGAAATTACATTTCTGGGGGGCGTTCTGTAAACCATCTGTGTACAGAACGCCTCCAGCTTGCCATATTGCATTTTACAGATAATTACAGAGCTGCAGATTGAAAAGAAAAGGTAATTTTTAATAACATTTAATTACAATATGATTTGTGTCGCAATTATATATTCTAGAATATTTTTTTTATGTGCTGTTTTTTTTCCAATAAAAGTAGTTACCCTTTAATGCCTTTCAGCTAAGTTAGCCACCTTATCTAGGAAAAATACCAACTTCATGAAATCTATCCTATTAATCACATTGGAAGTAAGTCCTGTTTTAGGGAACTAAGAAAATATAAACTGATAAACTGGGGTAAAACCTACTGCTGTGGGGCTACAGGTCCTGAACTAACCTGCTAGACAATAGAAAGACATGCTGATCTTTGTAGTTCCTCATTGTCTGGTGAGTCTTAGCTGGCCCATGCCAACATTGACTCACTCTGGTAGAAAATGTTTTATAATGACTGGAGGAAGTTAATGAGCGTGCCGTGCCCATCATGAAATAATGGGCCACTATAGATAACAGCAAAATAAATGTTATCATGTGGAGCAGATGCGCCAGCATGAGAGGCAGTTAGGCGAACAATTGTTCCTCTTGTTCTCCCTGTGCAGGTCATTGCTCTTTATGAGTTTACTTAGAATTATGATCTACCTTCATTGTGTCCCTACTCAATGTAACATAGTTAGTAGTCAGGATCAGGCACAGGCAGGCTGCAGCTTAGCAGCTGGTGTGGACCAGAATGGCAGGCAATGTTGGTGTTTCGTTGGCTACACAACCTGGAACATATATTGCAATGTTAAAATATTAGGGAAAGGGTGGGGGGTGCACCACCGCTCGTCATTCTTTTTTCTTTGACCCCGTGGAGCACCCCTTGCCACCAACTTTGTTTTTTCTAAGGGGCTAGTTCACCCAAGCATGCCAGTGCATCCTACTATCTAAATCAGCGTGCGGAGTAGACATTTTGCATCCTTTACATCAACTACCTGCAGCCTTCTCAATGCCCGCACAGAAAACCTAACAATGGCATATGTAGCTGCAATGCTAGGCACTAAGCTACATTAGTAGATTGTAGAGAGTAGATCTTAGATTGTAAGCTCCAAGGAGCAGGGCCCTCCTAACTCTCTTGTATTGAATTGTAGTGTTGCTGTATTGTCTCCCTTTATTTAGTAAAGCGCTGAGCAAACAGTTGGCGCTATATAAATCCTGTATAATAATAATAATAATAGATCACATGTACAGAGTTTGAACAAAGCTCCAGGGCGCATTTTTTAAAATCAGCTCAAAACCGCCATTATGTCTGTACAGAGAGGTATTTTTTTTCAGGAACAAGACTATGCACATTGTGATTGTCATTATTAGTAACTTTATTAACTGCAGAGGCTCATTTTAAAGCAGCAAAGGTGAACTAATTCTTTATTACTTACAGTATGTTTCTGGGCATCTTAGGTATGGTCACGTGACACAACACCTCCTTCTCTTCCTCAAGTGATAAGCAGTACCTGAATGCCGTCAATAGGTGGTGCAACTTTTTGCAGCATTTTCCTGTGAGTCCTTAACATCGGCACACCACACATATATGTCCATGGGCGGCAGAGGTTTCTGAGAGTCCTCTCCCAGCACAGAGATGGAAACAGCTCCCAGTCTCTGATACCGATTTAGAGTGGGTGAAGCTCTTGATCATGTGACCATTGTGACAGCCAATCACAATGGTCATGTGATCAGGCAGACCTTCACGCTCCCTGGACGTAGTAGCCCAATTAATGGGATGCTGGGCAGGAGATGGGTTCTGTCCATGCTATGGGGTCACAGAAAGTGGGTTAAAGTATGTTGGAGTCATTCAGTGCAGAAGAAGACTGTTTCTGGATCACATAGCAGTAAGTCTGTGGTGGACAGTGCCAGAGACAGCATTGTGGTCCTTTGTCACTGCCACTATATCCAGGATGATCTGTACCTTATCCCCAGTCTTTCTGGTTGTAGAAGTGGATACTGAGGGCAATAGAGAGATAGGTTCCTGCTGCTGTCAGAGAAATTGCTGTCAGGGGGAGGGAGCAGGGACATGGCTTGCCGGGCACTGTGTGTGTCTATGGACACACAGCAATAGCCAGGGGCATCCACTCCTTAGCAGATGGCCAAGTAAGAAAATACCAACAAAGGAGATGTCCACAAACAGGCTGAGGGGGGCTGCGGCTTGGCCACTGGCAAGTGGAGAGGAACTGTTGGGATAAAATATGAATGTATTTTGTACAACAGCTACATCAGTATTCAGTAGAGATACAGTATATTCTTCAGCCAATATATGGCAGTGTTTATAAGTTTGTAGCAGCATCTATGATAAACTCTGTGTTCTATTTTCTCTGTATAATAATGTTTCCTGTTTCCTGCTAGCAGAGAAGCAGCAGATAAACTCATGTGGACTGTGCACTGTCTGTTCTGTAAGTCAACATATAGAACTTCTAACAGGTTATGGACCCAGACAACTAGTCATAGCCAGCTACAGCAATCGAGTACAAGAGACAACAACAGAAAGAAGACTGCAGCAGAACAAAAGAAAATTCAAGATGAAAATTCAAGATGAAAATAAGGGAAGGTACATGGAAATGTATAAATGAATTCAGGCCAGAACACCCTTCAGATGAGTGAGTAGAGAAAGATCAGAAAGCACAAAGAACAATCTCTTTTAGTATAGAAGTTGATCAAATCATACATATATGTACTGTAAGTGTGAAACTGCTAAAGAAATATGGGAAGGTTTACAAAATGTGCATGAAAGAGCTAATCTCAGCAATAAACCGTGTTTGATTAAAAAGCTATACCAAACCAAGCTGATGAAAGGCCAGGATATGCAGGATTACATAAGGCACACCTTGGAAATGGTTGATTGCCTGAAAGGTATAGAAGAAGAAATAAAACATTTTCATGTTGCAGCACTATTACTTAGTGGTTTACCAGACAGTTATGAAAAGCTTGTCACAGCACTTGATGCACGTCCAATTGATGAACTGATGTTGAAATTTGTTAAGGGCAAGCTTATGGATGAGTATAAGCGTAACACAGAATGTATTAATAGTAGCCGTGTCTCTGTTGAAGAGCCTGCAAGATGAAAAACAGGAATAAAAACAGTAACATGCACAAAGAAATATGTAAATGCTTTGTAGGCAAGAAACAAGGCCATTTAAAAGCAGATTGCAGAATCTGGAAAGCAGAAACAAATATTTGTCAGTAAAGATTATCACAAAACAAGGCAATATAGTGACCTTCCAAGATGACAGTTGCGCCATCACAAAGGCTAAAATTACAAATGCACTGTATCAGCTGAACTGCAATGAGGTGGTTAATACTGCAGGAGGAAAAACATTAAAACTGCATTCACACATGGCACAGACAACTTGGGTACACAAGTCCTGGAATAATGAAGAAATTAACTGAGAATGACTATGCAAGTGGAATAAAAATTAGTCCATGTGATCAAACAATGAAATGCACCAACTGTATAAAAGGAAAAATGACAAGAAAAGGCTTTCCACAGCAGAGTAACAGCAGAGCTATGAAACCTCTGGACTTATTTATTTAGATATTTGTGGTCCAATAGAAAAATTGACTTCAGGAAAGAAGAGGGTTTTTTTGTCACTTTTATAGATGATTACTCCGGGTATGCTACACTATATATGTTACACAACAAAAATGAAGTACCAGAAAAATTGAACAGTATTTCAAACTAATGTACCGTACAAGTCAGAACAAAATGGGCTTGCAGAAAGAATGAGCCATACTCTATGTGAGAATCGAACAACCATGCTGTTTGATGCAGATATGCCAACCACATACGGGGGTTGGGGCAATTATGACCGCATGCTATCTGCAATATCGACTACCAGGAAAATCAACTGGGAAAACTGCATATGAAATGTGGAATGGAAAGGCAATGAATTTTAACCAGCTAAAAATGTTTGGAAGCGAAGCCTATGTGCACATCGCAAAAGAAAAACGTCCAAAACGGGATGCTTACACAAAGGAAGGTGTACTTGTGGAGTACAGTGAATCTCAAAAGAGATACAGAATTCTACACCAAGACACAAACAAGGTAACCATCAGTAGAAGTGTAATAGTTGATGAAACTTCAGTGTGTTCAAAATTTCATGAACTAACACAAAAGTTTCAAACTGAGGCAAATTTCACATCAGTGTCACATGAAGATA